ACAGCTTATGATTTTAAAGAAAACAAATGCTATGAAAATTAATCAAGTCTCTAGAAACCATTTTCACATATAGAAGGAATGGATATCTTTCATCCTGAATCGGACTCATTGTTTGTACATACCTAGATCCTAGTGGTAATATCTAATTGAAAGCGTGAATTCAGTACATCACCCCACCAAACATCAACGCGTTATTCACTAAAACTTCTGAGTAGAGGAAGTCATTAACTTGTTTAATTGGTATGATATTTAAATCATCATTGGTAAATGCTTTAACCATTCAGTTGTTGATATTTATGACTTCAGTCTAATCAGTAGATATGGTAGAGCACTGAAGCATAACTGACATAAACACTTAGAAAATATTGTAAATCCTCGAGTCTAGTGAATACAGATTGAATGTTAAATTTCATCCACAAATTTATAACAGAATACAAATCATTTACCAAGTACAGAATAGAATACTTAAATTTAAGCCAAATTTTAGGTATATAGACTGCTAGTACTAGCTGACTACCTGAATTGAGCTAACTGATGAAACATTCTGCACTTGTAATTGATTGGTCAAAAGTCAAATAATCTACCACGTCATCAATCAACATAAAGCAGTTTATTTTATCATTTTAACTAATATTTGACATCAGTTGAATTGTATCACAAAGGGTTTTGTGAAGATTGTAGTGATTTCAATAGTTGAAACCACCCGTCGATTGAAGCTAGACCAACATGGAAATCCTGAAAGCACTGGACGGCCGTTTCTTCCCAGTGTGGGACTCCTCGAAAGTGAGCATCCACGACCACGCCTCACGGGATTCGAAACCATAGTTGAATAGTTGAACAAAATACTTTCATCGATGAGTCGATTTCTTTCAATCTCATTCCAATTTATCCTTCTTCTATATACATGTCATTTTTATTAAAGTGAAAAATAACTTAATATATTGTTATACTAAGTTTAAAAATCATTCAATCTCTTTCAATAACCAGTTGTGACAGAGTGATTAACTGACAATAGCTTGTAAAATGACATCATAATAAATTACTCAAATGAAACAGACTTCATAAATGATTGATCACTGAGTAGTGACATGTGTTAGATTTGTCTAGTCATTTAAACTTAAACAAATTGTTATGTGGTCACTAGTCTAAGTAGCCCAGCATCACGTGTACTGTTTAGATGTGATAGATATTTGGAGGTAGTCCTTGGAATATCCTCCTTGATCTACTGTCTATGCTAGTTGCCACTCATCGTTAAGACGTAAGTGCAATCTTGATAGGAACTTTCGCTTCCTATGAAATTCCAAATACATTTAATGCATTAAGAAACTAGATCCATATTTAAAAAGGAATCGAGAATAACATAAGAAATTGAAAATTTTATGACACTGACTACTTCGAAGAAGTGATTGTAATTTCAAACAATAACCTTTTACAATTCAAATTAGAGCATTCTAGTATTGATAATGTGGTTTCCGACTCCATGACCAACACTCCTACTTTATCTGGGCTTTGAACCAGCAGTAACTCTACAAGAGCTACAGGCCGAGTCAACCACAAACAAAGTCAAAATCTTCAACACGAACGTCAAGACAGTCAGTTCTACTGTAAGGAGCTTGAAACAGATCTTTACCCAAAATACTCAAAATCCATTGGCTCGGATACCATCAGCAAAAGCCTACTGTGGGAGAGAACAAACCAGCTTCCAACTGAAGAGGAAATTAGGAAAAGACAGTGGAAGTAGATAGGACATACATTACGGAAATCATCAAACTGCATCACAAGGCATGCAAATTAGGAAAAGACCATGGTAATAGTCAAATTTAGAATCCATGTGTCGATTTATTCGGGTTTCAATGATCAATTATATGTATCTATTACAAGTAACTGTTTTTGTACATATTATGAATCAAACCCAATACTTTCAGTTTAGAATGTCAACACGATGTTTGCTAAATTGTACGTCAGGTTAGAATTTGATTATTCAACTGTAAATGTTCCATGACGAATGGAGCTTACTTCATACCATGGGTAACCACTATGCAAATTTATCCAGACCCTGTGACTTAATGAAAATGTCAGAGTAATCCTCTCAGATTGATCATTTACTGCATTTAACATAACATAATTTGAACCATCACAAACCAATAACATCAATCAAGCAATCACTGATACATCTTGTACTTTAACATGTAAACATTAATTGGTCAACTATTTGATAATCCCTAAAAGTCACCCACATTTGAGCTCTGAAGAGGAAACATCAGCAGAACAGTTTATAACAAACTGTACTTTGAAGTTTAGTTTATAAACAGAAAACAGCGGTATCTACAAAGTTATATGTTAGTCCGGGGATTCATAGTCTCAAAAAGCATATTTAAGATTACTACAAGGTGGTGAATATTCGATCAATATAATGTAACAAATAATACCTCCTTGTTTCTACGGTGTCCATGGAACTTGATAAAGAGCGCTAGTTATTCAAAATGTCTGTTAACAATCTTCTAGTTCATGAAGACCTTTCTTAATATGTTAAAATAAATATATTTCGTATTCAACTCGTTCAAACGTATCTTCATTCATTAAGTTCATTATAAACAATATCAGTGTAGTGCAATCACATGTGCAGGATGAAAATCTTTACATTTCTTCAATTTTTACAAATTTAATAATTGATAAAATAGCAATCAGCTATCAGTATATGCAAAGATGGATATTGGCTAGCAATGAAATCCAGGACTAGCGTTTCCTACTATTTGGGAATCGTCAGCTGGACGAACATGCACCTCAGAATTGGTGTTGTCTGTGTCGCTGGAACTCAACACCGTTCGCTTCAAATAATATCGTGTTATCCACTTCAAGTCCCAGAGTGAACATCAACTCTGAGGTGCAAATACATGCAGCTGGTAAGTTCCAAATAGGATGAAGCGCCTGTCGTCGATTCCACTTCTAGCCACCATCAATCTTTGCATATAATGCTTGTGAATTAAGGCAATATCAAGGTAATACGCAAAATATGCACATATACTAATAAGGGACTGATCAGTTACAGTCCCAAACATCAATGGGATGATTGAGCAAACAATACCAAGTGAATTAAGCCATCACTCAATCCAGAAATCCCGAATACTATAGCTGAATGATACTGAGGAGTTAATCAACTAAGCTAATAAATGAACACTGTTATTTAACGATGAAATGATCAAGAATGAACATATTTGAATGTATAAAACGCAATGGAAGTAGTTTCATTGTGAAGAACAAACTAGGCATCTCATTCATAAAGATTATCAAAGCTTCTTTGAAGTATAGTGTATTTAAAAATAACTCAAAAACTGTTGTAGAACAATGAAGATTGAAATACTAATGTAACAAATAGTGATAGAATAACAAAACAAACATGATCAGTGAATCAATGGAGTAATCGAGAATTAACGTTTATCATGTGCAAGTTGTGAAACTTGCTATTTTAAATCATCGTACTTATTAATGAAAAGTAGTGTGATGTCACGTTTGCTGTAATAATCGAACAATCATTGTAAAATTCGATTGACTTTCTTAAATAGAACTAGGATGATTGAAGGATGGAAATGAAAAGTAGTTCAAGGTAAATGATTTGAATAAGGATTTCTTTTACTTTTGTATTTCCTGATTTCTTGCTCGATCTTCCATCAACAAATACAGTTTAGTTAAGTAAATGAAGTAAATAACTATATTGGAACCTGATTCTTCCTCTCCTCATTCATTCGAAATGAATGAATTCTTACTAGACACATAACAATTTTTTATGTTCATTAGTGTTACAATACATCATTCTAGATGTGAAGCTGTTCACTCTAACTGATTCTATGAAAATCACATTAACACAGTACTGCAATGGCACGTCTTCGTAATTTCCGATATTCTCTATTGAAAACCACATCAAATAACATCTATCATGGTGTAGCCTGCATTTGGTCTGTTTCACGCCCCTCAACATTTGTTCATATCAAATCTTTTATCCGAATGTTTATGTGAAGAAGTCACGTGCTGTTGATAATACTACTACACACCTAATTTTACAAACTAAAATTTTCGTTGTACGTTATCTAGTATCCTATTGTGCTGCTTAACTTTGAAGAAGCGATTTCACTGTACTGAGATGAGTAATCCAGATACTTGTCAGACGTTGTAATAATCATGCTTGTGCATGAATATTTCATTATCTTGTAAACAAATAATGGTAAGTTGTATATTATCAGATACAAATCATTCACTGAACATACACATTTCCCACTCTATGGGGAATGTTGTCTATGTGACGAACAGTTTATCAAAACTGACTTAACCGAAACGCTATACTTATGCATGATCAGGAAGTTAATCCTTGTAAAGATTCATAGTTTCTCAAACGAAAATATCATTAAACTAGACATAATGATGTTGTGTACAGGGAATAGGAGAATTGAGTTGAAATTTATTGTAAGCTAAGGATTTACTGTTGAATTACATGTTTGATGTTGAATGAATTGATTATTGTTACTAATTACATTAATGAGCTGAATAAACGTGAATGCCAGTCAACACACAATACACAATACACATACAAAGATGAAATAATCAACACATAATGAACGTATTCATTCAATGTATCATTCCAATGGCACTTGCCAACATCGTTTCTCACTCACCACATGAATTACAGAACACAAAGCAATATGATTTGAATGAAATATATTCAATTGTAAGTTATAAGTTATGACTAATTGCTACACACATACAGATAATTGAGTAATATCAACACAAAATAGTCCGGCATATCAATGGAAGTAAGTAATGAGTATATATTGAGAGAAGGTTTTGTGTTACAGAAGTGAAAACACAGTTGAAAACAGATACGTGAAATAGATAAGGAGGCACCAATTATATTTGCCGAATAAATACAATCAATTTCACTATCTTACTATTCTACCATTATGCTGTCCTTGTACATAGCCAAGAACACTTCCACCAAGAACGTCTTTTTAAAACTTTTGTAAAGCTTTCCTTCCGGATCTCCATTTGGGCTGTGTATTACGACGAATATATTGGAAAGCATTAATAGAAATCGGTTGATCGTCTTTACGTTGGTCGTGAACTCTACTTCCAATAGAAACAATCCTTGACAATTTGTGGTTGATATTCACTTTTGATAATGGTGCACGCAGTGTATCATCACGCATCATTTGAAAACTATCTTTAGGAATATTCTGCATTTTCGGGCACAATCCACGTGATTTCACTTCATATGGTTTCTCATTATTCCAATTACCACTAAAACAGTAAACACAATATAAAACATCAGTTACATTCACTATGAGAACAACAACAAGGTGATTACAAACAATAACATCTCTTCACACATGATCAAGAGCAATCACTTACCCTGGACCATAATTACACACGATTGATAGACCGTATCTTGGACAACTCGCAACTCCACATCCAATGTCTGTGGTCTTGGCCCAAGCCATCTGAAACGGAATGTGAACAAGGAAATAATGTGATCGTTCGTTAGGCCAATTGCAAGGCATTTCCACTATGCTTCAACCTGATGTGAGTAAATACATTACATGTAGACGATAGAGATAATGTTTTCAACTGAAGGAGATACACGTGGAAATTCCAGTATGTGTTGAATGAGTATGTTTACACTTGGTGCAGTTATGATAACTAGTTGAATTCTACAGAACACTCATTCACTCACTCACCCAACCAATCACTCACTCACTCAATCAATCAATCATTCAATCAATCAGTCACTCTCTCTCTCTCACTCTCCCACTCATTCTGTCTCATGTCAACCAACAGTCGAAATCATTTCACCCAACACAACATCGTCATCTACCATCTATAAACAATGAATTTCTGTTGAGTAGATTGCAATATTGTGTTTGTGTGTTCACACTAGTGTTGACACTAGTGTTGACACATTGATTAGGATTTGGATGCACTCGTCAGTCTTAGTACATGCTGGTCAGAGACAAATTTCCTATCTGTTGTTTTCCACCGAATCACCTCAACTCTCAACAAAACACACATTCTCAAATATGATCAAGTGTTGTGGATACCTGTGTGCATAACTGCAATGATCGGATTACGTGTATTTACATGTGTTTTTCAGTCACTCCTGTAGAAAAGTGAAACCACTTGATTGTTATCACACATTCGTGGTGCATTATAATAGGTGTGAATGGTGAGTGACAAATGACTGTGGGTATGTTGAACTATGTTGAAGTGGATGAGAATGGACTTACTTGTGTGTAATGCAAACATTTCATACAGTTGTTTTCTTTGTAGTCGTATAGTTTGTGCTCATTGAACCAAGCATCTACTCCTCTGAATCAGAAAACAGTGAATTGAATAGAAATGAGCTTACGACTTAATGGTTGGATGGAGAGCAATATTTTGTCCAACCCAAGAGAATTCATCCGAATGACGTTTGTCGTGTTGCAAGATGCATTTGTTCGCCAATTTTTGTGCTTGTGCAGCCAGATTGTGATTCCATTTCTACAAATAAGCGTTACGTATATTATTTGAAGAAATTATTGAATAGTGAGTGATTTACCAATGGTGACATATATTTAGCTGGAGGTTGTCCATCAACTTTACAATCAACCAAATCCTGTCTGTATTTTCTGTGCAGTTCGAGTATTTCAAGGCTTTTCTCATCCAACGTTCTTTGCGAACCTGTGGAGGGTTGATCGTTAACTAAACGTTCACTTGAACCGATCGATGACAACTTGTGGTTGACATTCACTATTGATAATGGTGCACGCAGTGTATCATCACGCATCATTTGAAAACTATCTTTAGGAATATTCTGCATTTTCGGGCACAATCCACGTGATTTCACTTCATATGGTTTCTCATTATTCCAATTACCACTAAAACAGTAAACACAATATAAAACATCAGTTACATTCACTATGAGAACAACAACAAGGTGATTGCAAACAATAACATCTCTTCACACATGATCAAGAGCAATCACTTACCCTGGACCATAATTACACACGATTGATAGACCGTATCTTGGACAACTCGCAACTCCACATCCAATGTCTGTGGTCTTGGCCCAAGCCATCTGAAACGGAATGTGAACAAGGAAATAATGTGATCGTTCGTTAGGCCAATTGCAAGGCATTTCCACTATGCTTCAACCTGATGTGAGTAAATACATTACATGTAGACGATAGAGATAATGTTGTCAACTGAAGGAGATACACGTGGAAATTCCAGTATGTGTTGAATGAGTATGTTTACACTTGGTGCAGTTATGATAACTAGTTGAATTCTACAGAACACTCATTCACTCACTCACCCAACCAATCACTCACTCAATCAATCAATCAGTCACTCTCTCTCTCTCACTCTCCCACTCATTCTGTCTCATGTCAACCAACAGTCGAAATCATTTCACCCAACACAACATCGTCATCTACCATCTATAAACAATGAATTTCTGTTGAGTAGATTGCAATATTGTGTTTGTGTGTTCACACTAGTGTTGACACTAGTGTTGACACATTGATTAGGATTTGGATGCACTCGTCAGTCTTAGTACATGCTGGTTAGAGACAAATTTCCTATCTGTTGTTTTCCACCGAATCACCTCAACTCTCAACAAAACACACATTCTCAAATATGATCAAGTGTTGTGGATACCTGTGTGCATAACTGCAATGATCGGATTACGTGTATTTACATGTGTTTTTCAGTCACTCCTGTAGAAAAGTGAAACCACTTGATTGTTATCACACATTCGTGGTGCATTATAATAGGTGTGAATGGTGAGTGACAAATGACTGTGGGTATGTTGAACTATGTTGAAGTGGATGAGAATGGACTTACTTGTGTGTAATGCAAACATTTCATACAGTTGTTTTCTTTGTAGTCGTATAGTTTGTGCTCATTGAACCAAGCATCTACTCCTCTGAATCAGAAAACAGTGAATTGAATAGAAATGAGCTTACGACTTAATGGTTGGATGGAGAGCAATATTTTGTCCAACCCAAGAGAATTCATCCGAATGACGTTTTTCGTGTTGCAAGATGCATTTGTTCGCCAATTTTTGTGCTTGTGCAGCCAGATTGTGATTCCATTTCTACAAATAAGCGTTACGTATATTATTTGAAGAGATTATTGAATAGTGAGTGATTTACCAATGGTGACATATATTTAGCTGGAGGTTGTCCATCAACTTTACAATCAACCAAATCCTGTCTGTATTTTCTGTGCAGTTCGAGTATTTCAAGGCTTTTCTCATCCAACGTTCTTTGCGAACCTGTGGAGGGTTGATCGTTAACTAAACGTTCACTTGAACCGATCGATGACAACTTGTGGTTGACATTCACTATTGATAATGGTGCACGCAGTGTATCATCACGCATCATTTGAAAACTATCTTTAGGAATATTCTGCATTTTCGGGCACAATCCACGTGATTTCACTTCATATGGTTTCTCATTATTCCAATTACCACTAAAACAGTAAACACAATATAAAACATCAGTTACATTCACTATGAGAACAACAACAAGGTGATTGCAAACAATAACATCTCTTCACACATGATCAAGAGCAATCACTTACCCTGGACCATAATTACACACGATTGATAGACCGTATCTTGGACAACTCGCAACTCCACATCCAATGTCTGTGGTCTTGGCCCAAGCCATCTGAAACGGAATGTGAACAAGGAAATAATGTGATCGTTCGTTAGGCCAATTGCAAGGCATTTCCACTATGCTTCAACCTGATGTGAGTAAATACATTACATGTAGACGATAGAGATAATGTTTTCAACTGAAGGAGATACACGTGGAAATTCCAGTATGTGTTGAATGAGTATGTTTACACTTGGTGCAGTTATGATAACTAGTTGAATTCTACAGAACACTCATTCACTCACTCACCCAACCAATCACTCACTCACTCAATCAATCAATCATTCAATCAATCAGTCACTCTCTCTCTCTCACTCTCCCACTCATTCTGTCTCATGTCAACCAACAGTCGAAATCATTTCACCCAACACAACATCGTCATCTACCATCTATAAACAATGAATTTCTGTTGAGTAGATTGCTATATTGTGTTTGTGTGTTCACACTAGTGTTGACACATTGATTAGGATTTCGATGCACTCGTCAGTCTTAGTACATGCTGGTCAGAGACAAATTTCCTATCTGTTGTTTTCCATCGAATCACCTCAACTCTCAACAAAACACACATTCTCAAATATGATCAAGTGTTGTGGATACCTGTGTGCATAACTGCAATGATCGGATTACGTGTATTTACATGTGTTTTTCAGTCACTCCTGTAGAAAAGTGAAACCACTTGATTGTTATCACACATTCGTGGTGCATTATAATAGGTGTGAATGGTGAGTGACAAATGACTGTGGGTATGTTGAACTATGTTGAAGTGGATGAGAATGGACTTACTTGTGTGTAATGCAAACATTTCATACAGTTGTTTTCTTTGTAGTCGTATAGTTTGTGCTCATTGAACCAAGCATCTACTCCTCTGAATCAGAAAACAGTGAATTGAATAGAAATGAGCTTACGACTTAATGGTTGGATGGAGAGCAATATTTTGTCCAACCCAAGAGAATTCATCCGAATGACGTTTTTCGTGTTGCAAGATGCATTTGTTCGCCAATTTTTGTGCTTGTGCAGCCAGATTGTGATTCCATTTCTACAAATAAGCGTTACGTATATTATTTGAAGAGATTATTGAATAGTGAGTGATTTACCAATGGTGACATATATTTAGCTGGAGGTTGTCCATCAACTTTACAATCAACCAAATCCTGTCTGTATTTTCTGTGCAGTTCGAGTATTTCAAGGCTTTTCTCATCCAACGTTCTTTGCGAACCTGTGGAGGGTTGATCGTTAACTAAACGTTCACTTGAACCGATCGATGACAACTTGTGGTTGACATTCACTATTGATAATGGTGCACGCAGTGTATCATCACGCATCATTTGAAAACTATCTTTAGGAATATTCTGCATTTTCGGGCACAATCCACGTGATTTCACTTCATATGGTTTCTCATTATTCCAATTACCACTAAAACAGTAAACACAATATAAAACATCAGTTACATTCACTATGAGAACAACAACAAGGTGATTGCAAACAATAACATCTCTTCACACATGATCAAGAGCAATCACTTACCCTGGACCATAATTACACACGATTGATAGACCGTATCTTGGACAACTCGCAACTCCACATCCAATGTCTGTGGTCTTGGCCCAAGCCATCTGAAACGGAATGTGAACAAGGAAATAATGTGATCGTTCGTTAGGCCAATTGCAAGGCATTTCCACTATGCTTCAACCTGATGTGAGTAAATACATTACATGTAGACGATAGAGATAATGTTTTCAACTGAAGGAGATACACGTGGAAATTCCAGTATGTGTTGAATGAGTATGTTTACACTTGGTGCAGTTATGATAACTAGTTGAATTCTACAGAACACTCATTCACTCACTCACCCAACCAATCACTCACTCACTCAATCAATCAATCATTCAATCAATCAGTCACTCTCTCTCTCTCACTCTCCCACTCATTCTGTCTCATGTCAACCAACAGTCGAAATCATTTCACCCAACACAACATCGTCATCTACCATCTATAAACAATGAATTTCTGTTGAGTAGATTGCTATATTGTGTTTGTGTGTTCACACTAGTGTTGACACATTGATTAGGATTTGGATGCACTCGTCAGTCTTAGTACATGCTGGTCAGAGACAAATTTCCTATCTGTTGTTTTCCATCGAATCACCTCAACTCTCAACAAAACACACATTCTCAAATATGATCAAGTGTTGTGGATACCTGTGTGCATAACTGCAATGATCGGATTACGTGTATTTACATGTGTTTTTCAGTCACTCCTGTAGAAAAGTGAAACCACTTGATTGTTATCACACATTCGTGGTGCATTATAATAGGTGTGAATGGTGAGTGACAAATGACTGTGGGTATGTTGAACTATGTTGAAGTGGATGAGAATGGACTTACTTGTGTGTAATGCAAACATTTCATACAGTTGTTTTCTTTGTAGTCGTATAGTTTGTGCTCATTGAACCAAGCATCTACTCCTCTGAATCAGAAAACAGTGAATTGAATAGAAATGAGCTTACGACTTAATGGTTGGATGGAGAGCAATATTTTGTCCAACCCAAGAGAATTCATCCGAATGACGTTTGTCGTGTTGCAAGATGCATTTGTTCGCCAATTTTTGTGCTTGTGCAGCCAGATTGTGATTCCATTTCTACAAATAAGCGTTACGTATATTATTTGAAGAAATTATTGAATAGTGAGTGATTTACCAATGGTGACATATATTTAGCTGGAGGTTGTCCATCAACTTTACAATCAACCAAATCCTGTCTGTATTTTCTGTGCAGTTCGAGTATTTCAAGGCTTTTCTCATCCAACGTTCTTTGCGAACCTGTGGAGGGTTGATCGTTAACTAAACGTTCACTTGAACCGATCGATGACAACTTGTGGTTGACATTCACTATTGATAATGGTGCACGCAGTGTATCATCACGCATCATTTGAAAACTATCTTTAGGAATATTCTGCATTTTCGGGCACAATCCACGTGATTTCACTTCATATGGTTTCTCATTATTCCAATTACCACTAAAACAGTAAACACAATATAAAACATCAGTTACATTCACTATGAGAACAACAACAAGGTGATTGCAAACAATAACATCTCTTCACACATGATCAAGAGCAATCACTTACCCTGGACCATAATTACACACGATTGATAGACCGTATCTTGGACAACTCGCAACTCCACATCCAATGTCTGTGGTCTTGGCCCAAGCCATCTGAAACGGAATGTGAACAAGGAAATAATGTGATCGTTCGTTAGGCCAATTGCAAGGCATTTCCACTATGCTTCAACCTGATGTGAGTAAATACATTACATGTAGACGATAGAGATAATGTTGTCAACTGAAGGAGATACACGTGGAAATTTCAGTATGTGTTGAATGAGTATGTTTACACTTGGTGCAGTTATGATATCTATATAAATTCTGCCGATCACTCACTCAAAATATCAATTAATGAATCAATCAATCAGTCACTCTCTCTCACTCTCCCACTCATTCTGTCTCATGTCAACCAACAGTCGAAATCATTTCACCCAACACAACATCGTCATCTACCATCTATAAACAATGAATTTCTGTTGAGTAGATTGCTATATTGTGTTTGTGTGTTCACACTAGTGTTGACACATTGATTAGGATTTCGATGCACTCGTCAGTCTTAGTACATGCTGGTCAGAGACAAATTTCCTATCTGTTGTTTTCCATCGAATCACCTCAACTCTCAACAAAACACACATTCTCAAATATGATCAAGTGTTGTGGATACCTGTGTGCATAACTGCAATGATCGGATTACGTGTATTTACATGTGTTTTTCAGTCACTCCTGTAGAAAAGTGAAACCACTTGATTGTTATCACACATTCGTGGTGCATTATAATAGGTGTGAATGGTGAGTGACAAATGACTGTGGGTATGTTGAACTATGTTGAAGTGGATGAGAATGGACTTACTTGTGTGTAATGCAAACATTTCATACAGTTGTTTTCTTTGTAGTCGTATAGTTTGTGCTCATTGAACCAAGCATCTACTCCTCTGAATCAGAAAACAGTGAATTGAATAGAAATGAGCTTACGACTTAATGGTTGGATGGAGTGCAATATTTTGTCCAACCCAAGAGAATTCATCCGAATGACGTTTGTCGTGTTGCAAGATGCATTTGTTCGCCAATTTTTGTGCTTGTGCAGCCAGATTGTGATTCCATTTCTACAAATAAGCGTTACGTATATTATTTGAAGAAATTATTGAATAGTGAGTGATTTACCAATGGTGACATATATTTAGCTGGAGGTTGTCCATCAACTTTACAATCAACCAAATCCTGTCTGTATTTTCTGTGCAGTTCGAGTATTTCTTGACTGTTCAAATTCAAATGTTGGTTGCTGGATGCAGTTTCTAGAAAGAGTAATACAATGGATAATATCGATGAAAGACAGAGAAAATTTGATCGCATGTTTGTTGAAGTGTTTTCTTGATTATGCATTATGAAATGTTCTACGGATATATATACATAGATTTCTGTTATGTAAAGCGAATAAGAGATAAATAATTAATATGTATGAAATTTTTTGCACAATAGCTATCAAGATATTTAGATTATTCACAAAAACTACTCTTTTCTTGGTCAGTCAATCACTCAAACCAAACGCCACTCACATGCCGCATATTATCTTGTGTTTTGATTGAAATTCTCTATACATAGACATTGAATGAGTTGTGTGAACTTATTGAAAAATAAACACATTAGATCTAATGTCTGTCTATTGTGATCCATTGTGTCCGTCACATACAACCGATTATTGACATTTGTCATCGTGAACAATGCACCGATCACATTGTTAGTTAATTAATCCAACGGACTTTCACAATATTGAGTTTAATTACACTTTGTGATCAAAATATCTATCCACACATCTACCTATCTATCTGTCTATCCACACAACAATCTATCTATCTTTAGTGGTATACTATCACAGATTGACATCACAATATACTCACCTCTAGATTTTGTAGTTGGTTTCATATCTTCACTCATTCCATTATTCTCTCAACCAAATCAGAATTCCCAGTACCTTGACAGTTCTGAACAGTCCACAGTCATCAGATAATATTTGACATTTCACAATGATCTGATCATTGTGTGTATTTATGTCTAATATAATCAGGCATTTTTACGGTGAATTTCGTTAAATTCATCGGGCTAGATTGTTTCACCATTTTTTTTTACCGGTTCTGTTCTTGTTTTAATATGAATTATTTCAAAATTACCATGCTTTCTCTCTTTGTGGGTAGTAATGCTTGCGTTAGTATAAATCGACTTTTATCGGTTGAGCATCAAGTCCCAAACAATCTACCTAAACGAGCATGAGAATCGTTCCATATTCGATCAAATACTGAAGATGGAAGATGTGTTTTTTTTTCAAGGAGATTTAGTCAACGACTATTTTTCAGATGAGTCGATTCATACTTAGACCACATATTACAAACCGATTCTTAATTTACCCATCAAGCTTTATCGATTAACATAGATTTGCGTTGACTTCACATTTCTCTTACTTTGTATATTACTCAGATGATCTAGTAAAATTGTCACTTGACAATCTATAACAAATTTTACTGCCACACTCTTTAATGACTTTTGTAATTAAAAGAGCTATATACAAGAAGAAGATGTCTTTCAATAAATTCTCATCTTATTCTGTAGTTATATGTCCAAATTAATAATACATAACAATAGTTTACTATGAGGGAAATATATGGTATTAAAAATTACAGTATGTAGATATAGCATAGAACTAGAAACGAAGGCTCATGACAGAGTGAGTTGGAGAATGCTGGTCGGTGGCCTATACTCCATAAGTAATCAAAGGAGTAAAAGTATGTAGATGTAGGAGTATTTGTAAAATGAACTAGAATTTTAACATTCACATGTCTTGAATGAATTATAAACTTGAATGGTACTGGATTATGCAATAAAAAACAACAAGATTTTAGTTTATTAGTAATGGTTGTTTAAATCTTCTCATTGACATTTAAGATTGTCTAATATGTATCTTATTCAAATTGTCTCGACACTGCCATTCAGTCACAAAGACTGTAAATGGGGATGAATGATGGTTATTATTATTATTATTATTATTATTATTATTAGCTTTATTCAATATTATATTATTGGTACAATATAGAATTCTCAGCACAGGGTATTTCAACAAGTTTCCGTTTCTTTCTTCTTGGTCGGTCCTCACGATAAATACTAAGTGATCACCAGTAAGATGTTAGCAGTCCAGTAAATGAACATCTGAATAATGTACGTTCTTTTCGTTGTACATTGCTAGCAACCAAATTCTCTCTTTTTGAGCTTTTTGTAACTTTGACAATGAAAGGTTGTACACTTTTCAGAAACACAGCAGAATAGGTTGCGCGATTAATAGACATAATGATATATTAAAACAAACAAAAATAGATAACTTGTTGAAATATCTAGATGGCAGGAACAGGTAGCCCAAATGCTCAAGCAGGCCGCTTTGATATGGTTAGTGATAGTATACGTATATTGTTTGACCGATTAAGAAATGTGTGATGATTAGTAGTATTTGAATTATAGTATGAACTAAGAATCTCAGAAATAACGTAATCGGATCAAGAAGTACTAGATAACCACAAACGAATGTACGGTATTTGGAATTCATAATCAAGCATTCAACAAGTACAAAGGAATCATTCGTTTATTCATACACCACAAAATGATATGAGACAATTTATAAATTCATATGGCTGTTTGTTATGAAATGAAAATGGGAAAGTTTATTTATATAGAATGTTAACTATCTAATTTTCCCGCCTAATTATGAAATTGAATACATTTAAGCAATAAATAACTAACGATTGCAGAAATATCGTTTCGCAAAAAAGAAGAAGAAAAACAGAATACATTTTGTACAATTTAGTATATATATTGCATTACTGATAATTATATAAATGAGAACAACATTGAATCAATGAGAAATATAATAACAAATAGAATCATTCATTAATATATTTGGCTCAGGTAAAGTTTTATTTAACATATGAATGTTCATATGATTTCCATTATTTGAACTATTTGGCATATCCAGTGAAACGGTTCGCTCATTCAACACATTTAACAAAGTAAATTCATTCAACTGATTAATTGTTGATGGAACAAAGATTACATTGTTCGTATTTTTAGCACTTGGGCAGAATTCACGTGATTTCACTTCATATGGTTTCTCATTATTCCAATTACCACTAAAACAGTCAAAACAATATAAAACATCAGTTACATTCACTATGAGAACAACAACAAGGTGATTGCAAACAATAACATCTCTTCACACATGATCAAGAGCAATCACTTACCCTGGACCATAATTACACACGATTGATAGACCGTATCTTGGACAACTCGCAACTCCACATCCAATGTCTGTGGTCTTGGCCCAAGCCATCTGAAACGGAATGTGAACAAGGAAATAATGTGATCGTTCGGTAGGCCAATTGCAAGGCATTTCCACTATGCTTCAACCTGATGTGAGTAAATACATTACATGTAGACGATAGAGATAATGTTGTCAACTGAAGGAGATACACGTGGAAATTCCAGTATGTGTTGAATGAGTATGTTTACACTTGGTGCAGTTATGATAACTAGTTGAATTCTACAGAACACTCATTCACTCACCCACCTAACCAATCACTCACTCAATCAATCAATCAATCATTCAATCAATCAGTCACTCTCTCTCTCTCACTCTCCCACTCATTCTGTCTCATGTCAACCAACAGTCGAAATCATTTCACCCAACACAACATCGTCATCTACCATCTATAAACAATGAATTTCTGTTGAGTAGATTGCTATATTGTGTTTGTGTGTTCACACTAGTGTTGATACTAGTGTTGACACATTGATTAGGATTTGAATGCACTCGTCAGTCTTAGTACATGCTGGTCAGAGACAAATTTCCTATCTGTTGTTTTCCATCGAATCACCTCAACTCTCAACAAAACACACATACTCAAATATGATCAAGTGTTGTGGATACCTGTGTGCATAACTGCAATGATCGGATTACGTGTATTTACATGTGTTTTTCAGTCACTCCTGTAGAAAAGTGAAACCACTTGATTGTTATCACACATTCGTGGTGCATTATAATAGGTGTGAATGGTGAGTGACAAATAACTGTGGGTATATTGAACTATGTTGAAGTGGATGAGAATGGACTTACTTGTGTGTAATGCAAACATGCCATACAGTTGTTTTGATTGTAGTCATATAATTTGTGCTCATTGAACCAAGCATCTACTCCTCTGAATCAGAAAACAGTGAATTGAATAGAAATGAGCTTACGACTTAATGGTTGGATGGAGTGCAATATTTTGTCCAACCCAAGAGAATTCATCCGAATGACGTTTGTCGTGTTGCAAGATGCATTTGATCGCCAATTTTTGTGCTTGTGCAGCCAGATTGTAATTCCATTTCTACAAATAAGCGTTACGTATATTATTTGAAGAAATTATTGAATAGTGAGTGATTTACCAATGGTGACATATATTTAGCTGGAGGTTGTCCATCAACTTTACAATCAACCAAATCCTGTCTGTATTTTCTGTGCAGTTCGAGTATTTCAAGGCTTTTCTCATCAAACGTCGTTTGCAATCCTGTGGAGGGTTGATCGTTAACTAAACCTTCACTTGAACCGATCGATGACAACTTGTGGTTGACATTCACTATTGATAATGGTGCACGCAGTGTATCATCACGCATCATTTGAAAACTATCTTTAGGAATATTCTGCATTTTCGGGCACAATCCACGTGATTTCACTTCATATGGTTTCTCATTATTCCAATTACCACTAAAACAGTAAACACAATATAAAACATCAGTTACATTCACTATGAGAACAACAACAAGGTGATTGCAAACAATACCACCTCTTCACACATGATCAAGAGCAATCACTTACCCTGGACCATAATTACACACGATTGATAGACCGTATCTTGGACAACTCGCAACTCCACATCCAATGTCTGTGGTCTTGGCCCAAGCCATCTGAAACGGAATGTGAACAAGGAAATAATGTGATCGTTCGGTAGGCCAATTGCAAGGCATTTCCACTATGCTTCAACCTGATGTGAGTAAATACATTACATGTAGACGATAGAGATAATGTTGTCAACTGAAGGAGATACACGTGGAAATTCCAGTATGTGTTGAATGAGTATGTTTACACTTGGTGCAGTTATGATAACTAGTTGAATTCTACAGAACACTCATTCACTCACCCACCTAACCAATCACTCACTCAATCAATCAATCAATCATTCAATCAATCAGTCACTCTCTCTCTCTCACTCTCCCACTCATTCTGTCTCATGTCAACCAACAGTCGAAATCATTTCACCCAACACAACATCGTCATCTACCATCTATAAACAATGAATTTCTGTTGAGTAGATTGCAATATTGTGTTTGTGTGTTCACACTAGTGTTGACATTAGTGTTGACAGATTGATTAGGATTTGGATGCACTCGTCAGTCTGAGTACATGCTGGTCAGAGACAAATTTCCTATCTGTTGTTTTCCATCGAATCACCTCAACTCTCAACAAAACACACATACTCAAATATGATCAAGTGTTGTGGATACCTGTGTGCATAACTGCAATGATCGGATTACGTGTATTTACATGTGTTTTTCAGTCACTCCTGTAGAAAAGTGAAACCACTTGATTGTTATCACACATTCGTGGTGCATTATAATAGGTGTGAATGGTGAGTGACAAATGACTGTGGGTATATTGAACTATGTTGAAGTGGATGAGAATGGACTTACTTGTGTGTAATGCAAACATGCCATACAGTTGTTTTGATTGTAGTCATATAATTTGTGCTCATTGAACCAAGCATCTACTCCTCTGAATCAGAAAACAGTGAATTGAATAGAAATGAGCTTACGACTTAATGGTTGGATGGAGAGCAATATTTTGTCCAACCCAAGAGAATTCATCCGAATGACGTTTGTCGTGTTGCAAGATGCATTTGTTCGCCAATTTTTGTGCTTGTGCAGCCAGATTGTAATTCCATTTCTACAAATAAGCGTTACGTATATTATTTGAAGAAATTATTGAATAGTGAGTGATTTACCAATGGTGACATATATTTAGCTGGAGGTTGTCCATCAACTTTACAATCAATCAAATCCTGTCTGTATTTTTCATGCAAATTGAGTATCTCTTTACTGTTAGCATCTAGGCTACCATTTGCATGAATCATATTGACAAGAATGATTATTATATGTACGATGTATGTTGCTTTCTTTTCACCTAAGTACATGATGATTGTTTTTTATTCTGCTCATGGTTTTCCAAATAGTTCGTGTTTATATATATAATCTCTATGTCATTTAGTCTTCATTCACTACCTATTTGACATTTTTATATCTGTGAATGGCAGTTTTTTTCTTCCTATTACAGTTTTTCAATAACGACCGGTTAAAAATGCTTTATTTCATTCCATTTGAAATATCCGTTATATTATGAATGAGTTACAGGGATATGAATAATGGCAATCAAATGATATACTCACAGGTTTGAATCTACAATTTATTTTAAGTTGGAATGATTGAAACTTCCATAGTTTGAATAAACATTCACTTCTATTCAGATCACATTACAAAAATATTCAAAAATGAGTAGGTCGTTCGAAGACGTTTCATCTCGTTTTGAGACATTCGAGAAGTGTGCAAAATACTTTCCGGAAATTAAGACAATTTCTTCTTAGAGTTTCATTAATTACTAACAATTATTTACACATTAAAAAGCCAATTACACGTTACGCATAATCATGGATCTATCGAAGTTAAACATTAACACCATTGGATGCTAGCACAGTGGTATAGAGAATAAACGTTCACGTGCGACACACAAGGTCCTGAGTTCGAATCTTTCGTGAGGGATCGTACACATGCACTGTTGAGGAGTCACATACCAAGACGAAACGATCGTTAAACTGTTTCTAGCTTCTCACTTCTGATCTAGCTAAGATCGACCCATGAATTTAACTATCACAGTACTACAGTATCCACAAATCCACATTCTGATAAACTTATTTCAGTTCACATATTGCTTAGCGGCGTAGAATGTCACACATTACTAATTTCAATGAATAACCAAAATCTCTCAAACGAATTTGTTCGAACTAATATTGATGTAATCTACACAAATGTTCGTTGGATTTCGGGAAACACAGACAACGAGAATATGAAAGCAAATTCAACATTCTTCCTGTTAATTAAAACTAGTTCAAGCATAATTAGCTCAGAGTATAATCATGTGGAATTGATAAGGTTCCACATATCACGCATTGATTATCTATCTCATCTATATTATCATCTGTATTCATCACTTTTCACCTATTCTACAAGGTATAATTGAATTAATGAATGAATGTTTCTTATTAGAAGGCATATATACTGCACTGGTCAGGTCACATTTCCATCTTATATGACGGGTTCAATAAACAAGATAATATTGTTTGACTAATGGTGGTGATTCTTATTCAACAGTCCATCCATTTTCTATTTCAATATAATGATTAGTCAGAGTGAAATTTGTTTTGATTTGACTCTGTTCATATTTTATTCAATATAACATTAATTGATTTGAATGTGATGTTTTATTCAAGATACATCATTCATGTATTGTTGAATGAACATGGACAATGCTGAGTATGATATGTGGTGTGTGTGTGTGATATTGTTATCAGTTTGAATATTCTTCATATATGTGGTCTTATTGTAATGAATAATCGAAATGGATGTATGAATGAATTTATAGACGAGTGGATATTCGACTCTAGTTGTTGTTGTTGTTGTTGTTGTCGTGTTTTGGTGTTATGAACTCTTCACTTATATCAGTCTTGATGTTCTTACTTTGTGTTGTAGTAATTGAAGTGTTTCTTCGTTTTACAAGTATAAATAGTAAGTGACACAGATATCAAACGATTACTTAAAATTGTTTAGTCGTGTAGGATTTTGTCAGTGAGTGATCACATTTATTATTATTATGTGATCTTATTGTAATGAATAGTCGAAATGGGTGTATGAATGAATATACAGGCGAGTGGATATTCGACTCTAGTTGTTGTTGTCGTTGTCGAGTCTTGAATTTATGTAATCTTCAGTTATAGATAGAAAGATAATTAGTATAGTCAGAAGAAACATTCACACCTAAATCTGTCAATCAGTCAACTTATATCTACGAAACAGATTAATGGTGATATCTACATTCATTTTAGTGATTTTCTCCTTTCTTCCATATGTCAAGCCTCTCACACGATTTATCTCATATCCATATATATTTGAGGGAATTTCATGTCTAAACATTGTTCAAAACGTATGTTTCAAAACATCTGAATAACAAGAATAGTTTTAATAACCTGGAGACATTTCGAAGCTTCTTCTTCTTCACCAATAGGATTATATTGTTTATCATCAATTAACAAACAACTCTCCTAGCCCAGTAAGCATCAGATTACATACTAACTAACATACTACTTATTTCACGCTAATCTATGCACTGACAATCAAAATCAATCGACATTGGTATTCAATGAATTATTTAATGTTTCACAGATTCACAAGAATTACACTCTTCTTAATAAGTCAATCACTCAAACCAAACGCCACTCACTTACCGCATATAATCTTGTGTTCCGATTGAAATTCTCTATACATAGACATTGAATGAGTTATGTGAACTTATTGAAAAATAAACACATTAGATCTAATATCTGTCTATTGTGATCCATTGTGTCCGTCACATACAACCGATTATTGACATTTGTCATCGTGAACAATGCACCGATCACATTGTTTGTGAATTATTCTAACGGACATTCACAACATTGAGTTAAATTACACTTACTGATCCAAATATCTATCCACACATCCATCTTTCTATCTATAGTGGTGTAATATCTATCTATCTATCTATCTATCCGCACATCTGTGTACTACACAGACTGGCATCATAATATACTCACCTCCAGGTTATGTAGTTGGTTTCATATCTTCAATCATTCCATTATTCTCTCAACCAAATCAGAATTTCCACTACGTCAACAATACTGAACAGTCCACACTCATCAGATAATATTTGACATTTCACAATGATCTGATCATTGAGTTTACTTCTGTCTCATGTAATCAGGCATTTTGCATGGTGTATTTTATTTCATTCATCAGACCTAGTTATTACTCACAAAAGTGAGTTCAGCTTTGTAATATGGTTGAAAATACTGAATTTGCATTGTCAGCTTTATTAATTGAATTGAATGTTACCAAAGCTATTTGGTCCACTCTTCATGAAGGCCTTGTGGTGGTCTAAAAAGTATATTAACCGAAAAAAGCAATAAAGTTATTACGTCCAAAAGTTAATGTAGCAATAAACAACACATAAGATAATAACAGAAATCAAAGTTTAGGGACGTTACTTAAATCAGCAGGTTGTCGCATGTCTTGTGTATTTTAATACCAGAATCCACAATTATAGGTAAATAATAATTCCAATGAGAAGATATGGCTCCAGTAGTATATCCGAGCGTAGAATGTAATGTGAATTTTACAACAGTCTATAAATATAGATGATAGTTAATTAATCGTTCCGTTATTATATCGACAAACATGATAGAAGGAGAGATGTATATATAGAAATGTATTTGATTATGAGCAGTTAACTATGTCATGCTATGTGGGATTCAAAAACGGAAGGAACGATGCAAGTATTCAAGGTCATATACTGAAACAACAAGTGCAATCGATTAATGATAAATGTACAGATTGTAAGAACTGTCAAAACAAATGCAAGAGATATCAAAAACTATTTACAAAATAGGTTTATTAAGTCTATCTCCACAGCATAGAAATTGCTGTTCTTATGGAAACAACCGGTTGTCGGCATGGAAGTCTAGCTATCAAAAAAACATCACTATGTCAAATTTATTGGAATTTTCTTTTGAGAAACTACTTATCTTTACAAAGTTTAATTACCTGATTATCCATAAGTATAGCATTTTGATTAAGTCAGTCTTGATAAACTGTTCGTCAGATAGCCAACATTCTAGATACTGTATTTGATCTCTATTGATTGAGCAAGCAATCATTAAATGAAAAAGTAATGAACATCTTCATTCGAATCGTTCTTCATAGAATTGAATTCAAAACACATTGCAGTGTCAACAATATCCATAGTAGACACAATGTGACATTCTACATAGATAAAAATAATGTAGAAGATATCATCATTTCCGTTACTCATTACGTAATAGGTAAGCGCATTGTTTAACATGTAAGTATAATTGTTTCTGTGTCGATCTCATATCATACAACTCCATACCATCTTAATGATGTCGATGAACATTCTGACCATCAATACATAATACACATTCATTAGATCTCTATACTGAATGACATAATTAGATATTACTTATCATTTTGAAATCAGAAGTCATTTAATTGATGATATACAACTATTGAATAATCAATAACAGTATCAAAGCAGCATGATAATCAGTATTTAAACTGGGATAAATATGGGAATGACGATAAATGATTATGACCAATTAAAACGAATTAACAGTGAATGGATTTTATGCAATATCACCTCCATGAACTAATACTTGGTTATACTGACTAACAGCATATCCCTGTTGATAAAATTGTAAACTGTGTGACTTAAAGTAATGTGGCAATCAATTGACTGAAGGAAATATTCACAAATACGTCGTGATATATTTTATGAAATTCAAACATTCCGTACGGAAATTCACTGATATTTATGATGAAATTACACAAACATTGAAACGATTACTTGTATGAGCAAAAAAGGTTTATGAAATTCACAATGCCTGTACAGTAATCGTCATATCAATAAGACGTTTGTCACAAGAATAATAAGTTTAGTTTCACATAATCCGTTTGTCAATAAGGCACAAAACATATGGTGATTAATTTCAGTAATTCCAAATCATTGATAATAAAAAATGTGATCACTCACTGACAAAATCCTAAACGACAAAATTTTAAGTAATGGTTTAATATCTGTGTCACTTACTATTTATACTTGTAAAACGAGGAAACACTTCAATTACTACAACGCAAAGTAAGAACATCAAGACTGATACAAGTGAAGAGTTCATAACATCAAAACACGGCAACAACAACAACAACAAGTAGAGTCGAATATCCACTCGTCTATATATTCATTCATACACCCATTTCGATTATTCATTACAATGAGATCACATATATGAAGAATATTCAAACTGATAACAAAATCACACACTACATGTCATACTGAGCATTGTCCATGTTCATTCAACAATACATGAATGATGTATCTTGAATAAAACATCACATTCAAATCAATTAATGTTATATTGAATAAAATATGAACACAGTCAAATCAAAATAAATTTCACTCTGACTAATCATTATATATTGAAATAGAAAATGGATGGACTGTTGAACAAGAATCACCACCATTAGTCAAACAATATTATCTTGTTTATTGAACCCGTCATATAAGATGGAAATGTGACCTGACCAGTGCAGTATATATGCCTTCTAATAAGAAACATTCATTCATTAATTCAATTATACCTTGTAGAATAGGTGAGAAGTGATGAATACAGATGATAATATAGATAAGATAGATAATCAATGCGTGATATGTGAAACATTATCAGTTCCACATTATTATACTGTGAGGTAATTATTGTAAGCTAATTATGCTTGATCTAGTTTTAATTAACAGGAAGAATGTTGAATTTACTTTCATAGTTTCTCTGTCTGTTTTACTAATAATTTGAAATTTTTTCTTTCAATCGATTTATTTAGTCCATTCATTTAACTGTATTACTTACTTACTTACCTATTTACTTACTTAAATACACCTGTTGCCCTCGTTGAGGAGCATAAGCTGCCAACCATCATTCTCCATCTTACTGTTTACTGGAATATTCTTTCCACTTGGTTCCAGTTGCTGTTTATTCTTTTGATGTTTTATTTCAATTCTCGACACAGTGTGCTATTTGATCTTACTCTTTTCCGTTTCCCTTCAGTATTCCAAGTTGTCGCTTCACTCTTGAAACAGTTAAAGTATTTCCTCAATGGATGACCTATTTTCTTAATTTCCTTTTCAACCTCCACCTGGTATTTTTAAAAGTTTCGATAGATTTCAATGAGAAAACTGTAGTCGATTTCGTCAAGCAGAAACATTACTGAATAATAGAAGTAGATTAGTCACAACGCCCAACATTAGACAGTCTCCGAAATAAATGTTGTTATACATACTAGCATATACAAATAAGATCGTATGATCAGAAGTGGGTAAATTACTGTAATGTAGAAAATGCTGTGGGTAAGTAACACGAATTACACATGGTGGTCATTAAAATAAATGGTACTAACTCGAACTAATGAATACAAATGAGTAGTCTAGAAGAAACTTAACAAAAAGTAAGCACTGTACAATATTCGATATTTTATTATGTAAATTAAATAATGAAATAGACATCAACGTTGTCTGAATTAGGTTTTTTAAGAATCCATTACATAGACTGAAGGAAAATAGGCTTAGAAATTGTTTAAGATATTGCAAATCAAAAAGGAGATCAGGAGAACGAGATTGGTTTAATGGAAACAATTACTATTATAACCGGTTGTACCAGTGATTGTTTTACTGTACTTGATTGTTTAACTGTACTAAGAACATACATTCTTCCGTTGATTGTGACCTTGCACGAATTTACGTTTGCTCAGTAGTTTCACTTGTACTCCTTTGGCAAAATCTCGGTATTCTCTCGATACCACAAGGTCGCCAACAAATGCATCTCGACTACAGCCATCAATTGCCTTCTGATATTTGGCCTACAGTGGATCTTCTCATGTAACTGGCACGTAGTCTTCTTGTAGTGGTGATCATAGTCAACCGCGACTCGATGCCACAGCACTTTATCATTTATGATCTACTTACAACTACATTTCTATAATGCTTGTATAAACAAACGATTCTTTTATAATTGATGACGACTGTTTGATTTTGAATTTCAAGTACAATACATATGTTCATGCTCATTTAATACTTCTTGGTTAAATTACGTGATTTCTGGGATTCTTAGTTTGTATTATAATTTAAATACTTCTAATGATCACAGTTTTATATTACAAAAGAAATGTAATGATCACACATTGATAACTGGTTTCTAAGATTAAATGTAACTGTTATGTAATCTAATAATCAACAATAATTGAGATGTCTTATTTCTTAAATTCCTTAAGGTTGAGCAGATTGTTGTTGTTATATATTTAAGCGATTTATGTCGTTCCAACATTTTTTGTCAATACTAATTATCGTCACTTTGATTCATGGACCGATATCATTACGATTCAAAGTGCGGAGCGTTGAATAATTGTTTTGTCTTAATATATCACTTTAGAGCAGTGATTACATAAGATCCTACTAGTTACTTACTTACTTACGCCTGTTACTCCTCGTGAAGGAGCATAGGCTGCTCACCAGCATTCTCCTACTAGTTACCGGTATAAAATCATAGATTAGGTTTCGATGGGTACAATTCCAATGTTATTCTTTTATTCAATGCAACTAGTGACAACGTTTTTCACAACAATAAAATCAGGATTCAAGATTAAATTGTTGGATATGATGTAATTCATTTTTATGTAAACTAATTTATCATCAAAAAGGCCAATGTTTGTTTAATATTTTCTTATCTTTCATAAATCTAAAATTTGTTGATCAGATGATCATGATCAATTATTTCTATCAAAAGTTCTCTTATCAACCAATTGAAGTGTCAACAATATTCTTTCTTCCACAAAAAAAAAAAATAAATGTACTTTTTATTCCCGCATAATTTATGACCATAACAATATATTCCCAATGAAATTCTCACAATAGTAACCAATGTTATACATAGATTAGACCCATGTTTAAATGACTCAAGTTATAAACGTTCCTATAATATTGAAATGATTTATTGCACACGAGTGTTCAATAACATGAAACATAAGCATTTAGAGCAAAGAATGAATCTATATAATTCATACAAAAGTAAATAAAACAAGGGTACTCAAATCATTACTGAAAATCACTGCAACAACATACGAAACGAAAGTAAATGTTTAACATACTGATAATCTACATTCTCATCAATTATGTCTACTGCGTGAACACCAACAGAAAGCTTGATAAAAACAGTCTCCAAATACTCGAACTGCATAGAAAATACAGACAGGATTTAATTGATTGTAAAGTTGATGGACAACCTCCAGCTAAATATATGTCACCATTGGTAAATCACTCACTATTCAATAATTTCTTCAAATAATATACGTAACGCTTATTTGTAGAAATGGAATTACAATCTGGCTGCACAAGCACAAAAATTGGCGAACAAATGCATCTTGCAACACGACAAACGTCATTCGGATGAATTCTCTTGGGTTGGACAAAATATTGCTCTCCATCCAACCATTAAGTCGTAAGCTCATTTCTATTCAATTCACTGTTTTCTGATTCAGAGGAGTAGATGCTTGGTTCAATGAGCACAAACTATACGACTACAAAGAAAACAAGTGTATGGCATGTTTGCATTACACACAAGTAAGTCCATTCTCATCCACTTCAACATAGTTCAATATACCCACAGTCATTTGTCACTCACCATTCACACCTATTATAATGCACCACGAATGTGTGATAACAATCAAGTGGTTTCACTTTTCTACAGGAGTGACTGAAAAACACATGTAAATACACGTAATCCGATCATTGCAGTTATGTACACAGGTATCCACAACACTTGATCATATTTGAGTATGTGTGTTTTGTTGAGAGTTGAGGTGATTCGGTGGAAAACAACAGATAGGAAATTTGTCTCTGACCAGCATGTACTAAGACTGACGAGTGCATTCAAATCCTAATCAATGTGTCAACACTAGTGTCAACACTAGTGTGAACACACAAACACAATATCACAATCTACTCAACAGAAATTCATTGTTTATAGATGGTAGATGACGATGTTGTGTTGGGTGAAATGATTTCGACTGTTGGTTGACATGAGACAGAATGAGTGGTAGAGTGAGAGAGAGAGTGTGACTGATTGATTGAATGATTGATTGATTGAGTGAGTGAGTGATTGGTTGGGTGAGTGAGTGAATGAGTGTTCTGTAGAATTCAACTAGTTATCATAACTGCACCAAGTGTAAACATACTCATTCAACACATACTGGAATTTCCACGTGTATCTCCTTCAGTTGACAACATTATCTCTATCGTCTACATGTAATGTATTTACACACAGGTCATGTTGAAACATTGTGGAAATGCCTTGCAATTGGCCTACCGAACGATCACATTATTTCCTTGTTCACATTCCGTTTCAGATGGCTTGGGCCAAGACCACAGACATTGGATGTGGAGTTGCGAGTTGTCCAAGATACGGTCTATCAATCGTGTGTAATTATGGTCCAGGGTAAGTGATTGCTCTTGATCATGTGTGAAGAGATGGTATTGTTTGCAATCACCTTGTTGTTGTTCTCATAGTGAATGTAACTGATGTTTTATATTGTGTTGACTGTTTTAGTGGTAATTGGAATAATGAGAAACCATATGAAGTGAAATCACGTGGATTGTGCCCGAAAATGCAGAATATTCCTAAAGATAGTTTTCAAAAGGCGCGTGATGATACACTGCGTGCACCATTATCAATAGTGAATGTCAACCACAAGTTGTCATCGATCGGTTCAAGTGAAGGTTTAGTTAACGATCAACCCTCCACAGGTTCGCAAAGAACGTTGGATGAGAAAAGCCTTGAAATACTCGAACTGCATAGGAAATACAGACAGGATTTAGTTGATTGTAAAGTTGATGGACAACCTCCAGCTAAATATATGTCACCATTGGTAAATCACTCACTATTCAATAATTTCTTCAAATAATATACGTAACGCTTATTTGTAGAAATGGAATTACAATCTGGCTGCACAAGCACAAAAATTGGCGAACAAATGCATCTTGCAACACGACAAACGTCATTCGGATGAATTCTCTTGGGTTGGACAAAATATTGCTCTCCATCCAACCATTAAGTCGTAAGCTCATTTCTATTCAATTCACTGTTTTCTGATTCAGAGGAGTAGATGCTTGGTTCAATGAGCACAAACTATACGACTACAAAGAAAACAAGTGTATGGCATGTTTGCATTACACACAAGTAAGTCCATTCTCATCCACTTCAACATAGTTCAATATACCCACAGTCATTTGTCACTCACCATTCACACCTATTATAATGCACCACGAATGTGTGATAACAATCAAGTGGTTTCACTTTTCTACAGGAGTGACTGAAAAACACATGTAAATACACGTAATCCGATCATTGCAGTTATGTACACAGGTATCCACAACACTTGATCATATTTGAGTATGTGTGTTTTGTTGAGAGTTGAGGTGATTCGGTGGAAAACAACAGATAGGAAATTTGTCTCTGACCAGCATGTACTAAGACTGACGAGTGCATTCAAATCCTAATCAATGTGTCAACACTAGTGTCAACACTAGTGTGAACACACAAACACAATATCACAATCTACTCAACAGAAATTCATTGTTTATAGATGGTAGATGACGATGTTGTGTTGGGTGAAATGATTTCGACTGTTGGTTGACATGAGACAGAATGAGTGGGAGAGTGAGAGAGAGTGACTGATTGATTGAATGACTGATTGATTGATTGAGTGAGTGAGTGAGTGAGTGATTGGTTGGGTGATTGAGTGAATGAGTGTTCTGCGGAATTCAACTAGTTATCATAACTGCACCAAGTGTAAACTTACTCATTCAACACATACTGGAATTTCCACGTGTATCTCCTTCAGTTGACAACATTATCTCTATCGTCTACATGTAATGTATTTACTCACATCAGGTTGAAGCATAGTGGAAATGCCTTGCAATTGGCCTACCGAACGATCACATTATTTCCTTGTTCACATTCCGTTTCAGATGGCTTGGGCCAAGACCACAGACATTGGATGTGGAGTTGCGAGTTGTCCAAGATACGGTCTATCAATCGTGTGTAATTATGGTCCAGGGTAAGTGATTGCTCTTGATCATGTGTGAAGAGATGTTATTGTTTGCAATCACCTTGTTGTTGTTCTCATAGTGAATGTAACTGATGTTTTATATTGTGTTGACTGTTTTAGTGGTAATTGGAATAATGAGAAACCATATGAAGTGAAATCACGTGGATTGTGCCCGAAAATGCAGAATATTTCTAGAGGCAGTTTTCTATTTTTTAGTACACCTTAATCCTTTATTATTAGAATCTCAACTTTCCGTTTATTTACGATGCTTGATTGAATCGCTAATTGCTGCTCGAACTCATTGCTACTCTGAGCAATAATTTTTCTCTCTACAATTCAACTGTTAGCCATTCGAACTGATTTTCCTTTATTATCATCATCTGAGTTGAATTTATTCAGAAATTGTCGTTATATACTTTCTTCCATTTACCTTAATTTCTTATTTCATATGGTGAGAAGTGAGTTTTGAAAATAAGTTTTATTGTTTATTCTTAAGTTTGTTGAACTAACTGTGCCATCTTCACCTGAATGCTTTATCTCCTGCTTATGAATAATCCATTTATATAATAAAAATCATCTGATGTCTCATCTACTGTTACACATATTCTAATTAACATCAAAAAGTGACTTTGTTGATTTATTTGCTGTCACTGACGGTGTAAAGAATTCAAGGTTTAACGTGGAGACTAATTGTGACTTAACTTCGATAATCAATCGCCTGGATAACCACTATTACATTAATCCCAATGATTTTTGCATTCAGAAGACAATAAGAAGCGGTGACCACAGTTTATTAACGGATAGCACAGACAACAAAATTATAAGCACATCGATCGCATCGATGCCGAGTCGAATGTGTGTGTGTGTGTGTGTGTGAGCGAATACAAGGACCAAGTGATAGTCGAATCGAATTAGGGAACAGCAGTGCAACAAGGCAACGAAACGTCTAATAATAGAATTCAATCACACATATACATGGGAAAGAGAATGATTCATCGAGCGATAATTAAGCCAACACCGTTTATGCTTGAGTTATGTGAGATATGTGAGTAGGCTGTCACATGTGGTCAAGCATTCACGTTTATACAGACATGATAGTGATCATAATAATAATACAAAGCAATAAACGAATTTTCACTGTCCGAATATCATTATCTGTTGAATAAGTTCATAAAAGGGCTTGACAGAAATTAACCATAACCGTAATTACCGAGGGAGTGCTGCTATAATCTTGTTATTTATAAACGTCTATATGTGAATGATCGTCATATCTCTAGATTGGAAATATAGTATTGTATATGTTGTTTCTTCTGTTATTAAGATAAATGTCTAATTTTAAAGACTTGTGAAAAACCAGTTTCATCAGTTAAAGCAAAACACAGAATGTCTTAGTGAAATACACAAACCATACATCGCGCCATTTTGGCGCGAAATTCATTCACCTATTTGGCTAAATAGAGTCTTGGCATTTAAGCTGATTTCAGTTCGTGATGAAAAACCATAAATGTAATTCCTAACCTTAACCATCAACTGTGAATCATAAATGTTATGCTTCAAACTGCTTGCTTTATAACCCTCAGTTAGCCCTAGTAAGTAGGTAGACACTGTCAAGGTCAGTCTAGCGTCGCTCAAATGTCGTCCATAAATTATAGTCTCACCATTTTCTCTTATACAATTCATCATCCTCTGATTCCGGTTGTTAATACAACTACTCTCTGTTCATATTTCCCTTCGCTTCACTTCGATCTTCTCATCCATTCGCTGCGATGCATTCTACTTCTGATTCGTGTTGCATATTACTTGTGTCGACTGACATATGTAGCATATTGACCATATTCAAATTTAATTAATGGGATCCAATCTCTCTATAACTCCTTGAAACGTGAAGAGAGTTTATAGTTTCTGGAATTCGAAAGTAAGTAAAAGAAACAGATTGGATATAGTTGTTAGTTAATTGCATAGTTTACGATTGCCCGTAACTTGATTGTCTATCCAATTTTTACTGGGATACCATCAAAATGTTCATGATGGTTTCAATGCCATGTATTATTGAAACATCATGAAAAATCCAGTAAATCAATCAGTGATTTGTTATAAACAGTCAGATAACGAATGACATGACCAACAAGATCTACAGAATAAAGTAAATCATTGGCAGATTAAATGTGCAACTGTTGTTACATCTTCCACAAACAGACTGTTTTAACATCCTAAAGACTAAGAAATGCCACTTGGAAAAGTAAGACCGTTTAGTGAGATGACATGGTAAACCGAAGTGAAACATCAATTGTAGTAGAGTTATATCACAGATCGACATCGGGGTAGAGATTATAACAAGGAAGAAATGGACTGGTTTTTTTTGCACAGTTCTCAAATGTGTACACCGACCGTTGTCGACAGGGATTTAACTAACCACCCTGAAGTTAACTTGTTGTTGTTTTATCATCAGATCACACAGTTACAAATCAACAGTCAACATTCCTAATTTTAAACGAACTTTCGTTATAGCATGTGTACTAACGAGTTCCACAGCTAGATACACTCTCGTTACCAACAAACCGAACTTCGTTATTTATAAGCTTCATTAGAACCTTGGGAATCTGTCTCGACGAAATTCAACAGTGAGAAATAGTTATAATAATAATGAGAGCAAACGTCTGTGCGTATGATCTATGAAATGGTCTGGAAGAGGAGTCACGTAGTGAGACGAAGCACCGCCAATCACAAATTTCTAATGATAATCAGACTAGTCTTCACAAAATCTTTAAATAATATTTGAACATGACTACGAGGAAGTTAATTAAATAAACAACAATAAAACTCCTTGGAATATAAGTATGAAAGTTTGTGGAGATCGGAGTAGTTTCGCAATTGACCGTCGTTGAATTCCTGGAAGCTCGGAACAGTCGTCTGGTCGTGGTATGGAACTCCTAACCCATGCTTATCCACGTTCCTACGAGAATCAAACCCAAGACGTTCAGTCTCAAGAGCGGACAGATAACGTTCACACCACTAACCTGCTATCCGACGGTGTCAATATTTAGCTTCAACCAATCCATGCTCTAGCGAGACCCATCATCTGTTTCATGAGGTGTATATCGATCTCACACTCGATGCAGACTGAACTCCACAGGTTACGGTCTCTCACTACTATTAAATTGATATTTTTATCTGGAATTAATGTGTGGAGAGTGTTGCGGACGATAGATCCCCAAAACTCATATTTTGTAATTTTATCATATCGATTAAATGTTTGAATATTTGAATGGCAGTCAATTGGTAGACTTATCGATTAAATGATTAAATAGCAGTCAATTGATGAAATTATCGATGGAATATTTGAATGACTGTCGATTGATGAACTTATCGATTAATGTTTAAAAATTTTCCACGACAATTTCGATTATAAAGATTTGTATAAATACGCTTGATTTGTGTGACTTGACCTGACTTGTAATCTGCTGTTTGCCTGTAGAGTACACTTTTTACGTCTCACCCGGACTTCTTGATCGAGTTAGCTGAGTCGGGGACTACGGACCAGAATAGTCTATCGAGATTCTGAATCCCTTGATCCGATCGATAGGTCACTGTCCTATGATCGGCGGCCCTTTGGGCTATAACACAGAGCTAAAAAGACAGCGTTTTTTCCACCAATATAATTCCAGTGATTTTTCAATACTACGGACAATGTACTCTTAGTAAGAACTTCTTTCACTCTGCTTACGATTGTTGGTCACGTTCGGAGGAATGATATTTTGAGAATATTGACCGAAATTATCAACCATTTCAGAATAAAGATTATTTTCGGTTGATATCTCAGTTCTTAGAAGGTGAAGAGAGATTAATTCATATATGAATTGAATTATCCCTCGACATTTTGCATGTTAAAATGATGTTTGATCAGTAAACTTGAAATAAATCATTTACAAAAGGTGGATGTGATCGATTAGTAATTTTAGATTGAGAATAGTTATAAAAGATGATTGTTGATCATCACATAAAAAGAAAGTAAATTTGGAGATGGTTAATGCCGACATAGACCTCGAAATGACTTGTGATCGATGTAAGTTGTACAGATCCAGTTCACAATCATACATGTACATGCATCTGTAAATTTTTGGAATAAACCTGTTTACTGAGTGTAAATAAGTAGTATGGAATATTACGCAAAAGAGTGGATGAGAAGTGAGTAAAGACAGGATGTGAAACAGACTTAAAAATTTCCTAAATTCAATAAAGTACAACATCACTTTTAGTCACACAGTTTACAATGTTCTCACCAGGGATATGCGCTTTGCCAATATAATCAAGGATAAGTTCATGGAAATGATATTGTATAAAACCCATTCACCGTTACGTCGTTTTAATTGGTTATAATCTTTGTTCATTATGCAAATATATTTATCCCATTTTAAATACTGATTATCATGCTGATTTGATACTTTTATTGATTGTTAATTAGTTGTGTATATACAGCGACTCACGTGCAATTGAGAATATTCACATTTGACTCAGTTAAGCCTTTTTACTAACTTATAAAGCGGACAAAGTCATTCGCACTATAACAATTTACTGTATCCTTAAAATAATTGTACTACTACTACTACTACTACTACTACTACTACTACTACTACTACTACTACTACTACTACTACTACTACTACTACTACTACTACTACTACTACTACTACTACTACTACTACTACTACTACTACTACTACTACTACTACTACTACTACTACTACTACTACTACTACTACTACTACTACTACTACTACTACTACTACTACTACTACTACTACTACTACTACTACTACTACTACTACTACTACTACTACTACTACTACTACTACTACTACTACTACTACTACTACTACTACTACTACTACTACTACTACTACTACTACTACTACTACTACTACTACTACTACTACTACTACTACTACTACTACTACTACTACTACTACTACTACTACTACTACTACTACTACTACTACTACTACTACTACTACTACTACTACTACTACTACTACTACTACTACTACTACTACTACTACTACTACTACTACTACTACTACTACTACTACTACTACTACTACTACTACTACTACTACTACTACTACTACTACTACTACTACTACTACTACTACTACTACTACTACTACTACTACTACTACTACTACTACTACTACTACTACTACTACTACTACTACTACTACTACTACTACTACTACTACTACTACTACTACTACTACTACTACTACTACTACTACTACTACTACTACTACTACTACTACTACTACTACTACTACTACTACTACTACTACTACTACTACTACTACTACTACTACTACTACTACTACTACTACTACTACTACTACTACTACTACTACTACTACTACTACTACTACTACTACTACTACTACTACTACTACTACTACTACTACTACTATTATTTCTCTTGCTCATCCAATTTTCCACTCTGCTGTCTGTTTCTTCCTGAAATCTATTATTCCAAGTTGCACTTAACTGGTTCTTTAATACATACATAAATGAGGCAAATAGAAGTTGTAGATCACCAACGTAGATGAACATTGTCGAATGATTGGAGGGCCTACTGAAGTTTGACGGGAACAGATAACTTCGAAGTCACACCCCGTGATTAGCACTTAAAAAAATAATTGAATTATCAACAAGATTTATTTTTTACAAAAAATAAATGTACTTTATATTCCCGCATATTTTGATGACCATAACAACACATACTCAATGAAACACTCACAGTAATGAGAGAAAACCATGCGTGGGAACGTATTGGTAATCTATTGAGAGAATTGTGAAGAACAAGTAATTTTCTAGAATCTAAAATATGAACAAAGGAATATACTTTTGCAGTGTTCCCATAAGATTTTAAATTTTATTTTGTATGTATTGTTAGTATAGTTTTAACCGATTGATCACTGAATAGTAACCAATGTTACTCTTAGATTAGACCCATGTCTAAATGATACTGATTAGCAATCTGTTCAAAATATCCATTTAATAAAAGAGATTGTTCATCTAAAGCTGTTATTATCAACATAGATAAAATACAAAACCTTAATAAATCAGTGGCTAACTTATATATTTATTATAAATAGCTATTCAAACTAGTAGTATGTTTAAAAGTGTACTCCTTTTAAACCTGATATAGTAATCTACTGTTTGAGAGTAAATACATTTAATTATATGTTAATTCAACGAAAGAATTAAGTGAAATCATGAGTCAATTGAAGCTAGACCAACATGGAAAATCTGGAAGCACTGGACGGCCATTTCGTCCTAGTATGGGACTCCTCGACAGTGCGCATCCACGATCCCGCACCACGCGATACTCGAACACAGGATCCATCAGTCCCGCGTCAGGCGCTTAACCAACTGTACTACTGAGCCGGCATCCAATTGTGGTAATGTCTATGGTCAACCAATCCACGGGAGACTGATAGGTCCTGGATACGAATCTCGCGGATGGCAGGATCGTGGATGCACATTGTTGAGGAGTCCCATACTAGGACGAAACGGCCATCCGGTGCTGCCAGGTTTTCCATGGTCATCTAGCTTCAATTGACTCGTGATTTCCATCAAAAACCTAATCATCTCCACAACCCTTAATAAACTGAAAGAAATAATCTTAAAGATTGTTAGAAGATATCAGGATGTATGTATAACTCCTCCTGTAGCTCTTCTAGAGTTGCTGTCGGTCCCAATCCCGGGTAAGGTGGAAGAAAGTTGGGCATGAGGTTAGCGTCCCCATCCCGTAGAAAACTAATTCGCTAAAAAACGCTTACTAGAAAAAATAGTTCAAACCATTTAAACTCTGCCCTGAGGGTTAGAAGGTCTTCATTTAGAAGAATTATGACGCTTCACGGTGAAAGCCGATTTCCTTCGAAAGCAGCGAGACGGATGCCCTTTTTAACAACCTGAGCAAACATTTTTATAGGTACATGGAACGTCCGAACAATGTGGGAGACCGGAAAGACCAGTCAAATAGCAACGAAATGAGGAGATACGACTTGGCAGTACTAGGAATCAGCGAAACCCACTGGACCCAAGCTGGACAGAAAAGGCTAGCTACGGGAGAGACGCTGCTATACTCCAGTCACGAAGAGGAAAATGCTCCACACACTCAGGGAGTCGCTCTAATGCTGTCCAAAGTAGCACGAAATGCACTTGTAGGATGGGAATCTCACGGATCCAGAATCATCAAAGCATCATTCAAAACAAAGACGGAGGGGATCTTAATGAATATTATCCAATGTTATGCACCCACCAATGATAGCAACGACGAAATTAAAGACCAGTTCTACGAGCGGCTGCAATCAGTCATAGAGGAGTGTCCAAAAAAGGACGTCACAGCATTATGATGGGAGATCTAAATGCCAAAGTTGGAATAGACAACACAGGATATGAAGATATCATGGGACGACATGGACTGGGTGAGAGAAACGAAAATGGGGAGAGATTTGCAAATCTATGTGCATTCAAGAAATCGGTCATAGGAGGCACAATATTTCCACACAAGCGTATACACAAGGCTATATGGATCTCACCGGACCAAACTACAGAGAACCAGATAGATCATATTTGCATCAACAAAAAATTCCGAAGGACAATGGAAGATGTGAGAACCAGGAGAGGAGCTGACATAGTTTCAGATCACCACCTAGTTGTAGCCAATTTAAAACTGAAGCTAAAAAAGAACTGGACAACTGGACAAACAGCAATACAAAGGTTCAATACTGCCTTCCTTCAAAATACTGACAAACTCAGTGAATTCAAGGTAGCTCTCAACAACAGGTTCGAAGCCTTTCAAGATCTACTGAAGGAAGAAGAAACTACTATGAAGGACAACTGGGAAGACATCAAAGAAGCATTGACTTCAACGTGTCAAGAGGTTCTAGGCCAAAAGAAGCATCACCATAAGGAATGGATCTCTATGGAAACACTGGACAAGATCAAAGAAAGGAAGAACAAGGAAGACAGCAATTAACAACAGCCGAACACGAGCAGAGAAAGTTCAAGCACAAGCTGACTACATAAAAGCAACTAAGCAAGTTAGGAAGAGCGGTAGAGCCGACAAGAAGAAATACATGGAAGAACTAGCAACGACGGCGGAAAAAGCTGCTAGAGAAGGAAATCTGAAACAGCTTTACGATACAACGAAGGAACTAGCAAGGAAATAAAGCAAACCAGAGAGGCCGGTCAAAGACAAAGAAGGCAAGCGAATCACTGAAATTCAACAACAGCGGAACAGATGGATAGAATACTTCGAGGAACTCCTGAATAGGCCGGCTCCAACGAATCCACTGGACATCGAAGCAGCACACACAGATCTTCCTATAAATGTCAATCCACCAACGACGGAAGAAATCAGAATGGCCATCAGACAAATCAAGGACGGGAAAGCAGCAGGACCCGACAACATGCCAGCTGAAGCACTGAAGTCAGACATCGAATTAACTACAAGTATGCTTCACCTCCTATTCAAAAAGATTTGAGAGGAGGAACAATTGCCTATGGTCTGGAAAGAAGGACACCTCATCAAGATTCCAAAGAAAGGAGATCTGAGCAAATGTGAGAACCACAGAGGCATTACACTACTGTCAATACCAGGGAAAGTCTTCAACAGAGTGTTGCTGAACCAGATAAAGGATGCAGTGGACGCCTAACTTTGAGATCAACAAGCTGGATTCCGTAAGGATCGGTCGCGCACAGACCAAATTGTAACACTACGGATCATCGCCGAACAATCAGTTGAGTGGAACTCGTCACTATACATCAACTTCATTGATTATGAAAAGGCATTCGACAGTGTAGATAGGAGGACATTATGGAAACTTCTTCGACACTACGGAGTTCCTGAGAAGATTGTCAACATAATCCGGAACTCATACAACGGACTACAGGATATACATTACGCAAATCATCAAACTGCATAACTAAGCAAGCCCTAACTTGGAATCCTTAAGGAAAGCGGAAAAGAGGGAGGCCAAAGAACACATTACGTGTGGAAATAAAAGCAGATATGCAAAAGATGAATAAGAACTGGGAAGAGCTGGCAAGGATTGCCCAGGACAAGGTTGGATGGAGAATGCTGGTGAGCGCCCTATGCTCCTTCACGAGCAGTAACAGGCGGAAAAAGGTAAGTAAGTAAGGATTTATGTATACAGTTTAGTTCTTACTATGCCAGTCTAGTACATAAGTAAATTCAAAACAAGTTGCTTAACATGTGTATGTATAAGTGAAGAAAACACACCTTATTTTTATCTATCATTTAGGCAACATATAACATAATCAAAATAACTCTACTGTTATACTACTTAATAAAAAGATTCATACTTAGGCAAATTTGTACTATTAAACATATAAGAGAATAACAATTAGAAGAACACGTAGTATTTTCAATGAGAAAACTGAGATAATACAGTTTAGAAGATGAAGATAAACAAAACATGAACAAATAGAAGAATGGATGAACTCCGATAATTCACACAAACGCAAATAAAAAGGCATTGAAATCATTACTCAAAATCATTGAAACAACATACTAAACGAAAGTAAATGTTTAACATACTGATAATATACATTCTCATCAATTATGTCTACTGCGTGAACACCAACAGAAAGCTTGATAAAAACAGTCTCCAAATACTCGAACTGCATAGGAAATACAGACAGGATTTAGTTGATTGTAAAGTTGATGGACAACCTCCAGCTAAATATATGTCACCATTGGTAAATCACTCACTATTCAATAATTTCTTCAAATAATATACGTAACGCTTATTTGTAGAAATGGAATTACAATCTGGCTGCACAAGCACAAAAATTGGCGAACAAATGCATCTTGCAACACGACAAACGTCATTCGGATGAATTCTCTTGGGTTGGACAAAATATTGCTCTCCATCCAACCATTAAGTCGTAAGCTCATTTCTATTCAATTCACTGTTTTCTGATTCAGAGGAGTAGATGCTTGGTTCAATGAGCACAAACTATACGACTACAAAGAAAACAAGTGTATGGCATGTTTGCATTACACACAAGTAAGTCCATTCTCATCCACTTCAACATAGTTCAATATACCCACAGTCATTTGTCACTCACCATTCACACCTATTATAATGCACCACGAATGTGTGATAACAATCAAGTGGTTTCACTTTTCTACAGAAGTGACTGAAAAACACATGTAAATACACGTAATCCGATCATTGCAGTTATGCACACAGGTATCCACAACACTTGATCATATTTGAGTATGTGTGTTTTGTTGAGAGTTGAGGTGATTCGGTGGAAAACAACAGATAGGAAATTTGTCTCTGACCAGCATGTACTAAGACTGACGAGTGCATTCAAATCCTAATCAATGTGTCAACACTAGTGTGAACACACAAACACAATATTACAATCTACTCAACAGAAATTCATTGTTTATAGATGGTAGATGACGATGTTGTGTTGGGTGAAATGATTTCGACTGTTGGTTGACATGAGACAGAATGAGTGGTAGAGTGAGAGAGAGAGTGTGACTGATTGATTGAATGATTGATTGATTGAGTGAGTGAGTGATTGGTTGGGTGAGTGAGTGAATGAGTGTTCTGTAGAATTCAACTAGTTATCATAACTGCACCAAGTGTAAACATACTCATTCAACACATACTGGAATTTCCACGTGTATCTCCTTCAGTTGACAACATTATCTCTATCGTCTACATGTAATGTATTTACACACAGGTCATGTTGAAACATTGTGGAAATGCCTTGCAATTGGCCTACCGAACGATCACATTATTTCCTTGTTCACATTCCGTTTCAGATGGCTTGGGCCAAGACCACAGACATTGGATGTGGAGTTGCGAGTTGTCCAAGATACGGTCTATCAATCGTGTGTAATTATGGTCCAGGGTAAGTGATTGCTCTTGATCATGTGTGAAGAGATGGTATTGTTTGCAATCACCTTGTTGTTGTTCTCATAGTGAATGTAACTGATGTTTTATATTGTGTTGACTGTTTTAGTGGTAATTGGAATAATGAGAAACCATATGAAGTGAAATCACGTGGATTGTGCCCGAAAATGCAGAATATTCCTAAAGATAGTTTTCAAAAGGCGCGTGATGATACACTGCGTGCACCATTATCAATAGTGAATGTCAACCACAAGTTGTCATCGATCGGTTCAAGTGAAGGTTTAGTTAACGATCAACCCTCCACAGGTTCGCAAAGAACGTTGGATGAGAAAAGCCTTGAAATACTCGAACTGCATAGGAAATACAGACAGGATTTAGTTGATTGTAAAGTTGATGGACAACCTCCAGCTAAATATATGTCACCATTGGTAAATCACTCACTATTCAATAATTTCTTCAAATAATATACGTAACGCTTATTTGTAGAAATGGAATTACAATCTGGCTGCACAAGCACAAAAATTGGCGAACAAATGCATCTTGCAACACGACAAACGTCATTCGGATGAATTCTCTTGGGTTGGACAAAATATTGCTCTCCATCCAACCATTAAGTCGTAAGCTCATTTCTATTCAATTCACTGTTTTCTGATTCAGAGGAGTAGATGCTTGGTTCAATGAGCACAAACTATACGACTACAAAGAAAACAACTGTATGGCATGTTTGCATTACACACAAGTAAGTCCATTCTCATCCACTTCAACATAGTTCAATATACCCACAGTCATTTGTCACTCACCATTCACACCTATTATAATGCACCACGAATGTGTGATAACAATCAAGTGGTTTCACTTTTCTACAGAAGTGACTGAAAAACACATGTAAATACACGTAATCCGATCATTGCAGTTATGCACACAGGTATCCACAACACTTGATCATATTTGAGTATGTGTGTTTTGTTGAGAGTTGAGGTGATTCGGTGGAAAACAACAGATAGGAAATTTGTCTCTGACCAGCATGTACTAAGACTGACGAGTGCATTCAAATCCTAATCAATGTGTCAACACTAGTGTCAACACTAGTGTGAACACACAAACACAATATTACAATCTACTCAACAGAAATTCATTGTTTATAGATGGTAGATGACGATGTTGTGTTGGGTGAAATGATTTCGACTGTTGGTTGACATGAGACAGAATGAGTGGTAGAGTGAGAGAGAGAGTGTGACTGATTGATTGAATGATTGATTGATTGAGTGAGTGAGTGATTGGTTGGGTGAGTGAGTGAATGAGTGTTCTGTAGAATTCAACTAGTTATCATAACTGCACCAAGTGTAAACATACTCATTCAACACATACTGGAATTTCCACGTGTATCTCCTTCAGTTGACAACATTATCTCTATCGTCTACATGTAATGTATTTACACACAGGTCATGTTGAAACATTGTGGAAATGCCTTGCAATTGGCCTACCGAACGATCACATTATTTCCTTGTTCACATTCCGTTTCAGATGGCTTGGGCCAAGACCACAGACATTGGATGTGGAGTTGCGAGTTGTCCAAGATACGGTCTATCAATCGTGTGTAATTATGGTCCAGGGTAAGTGATTGCTCTTGATCATGTGTGAAGAGATGGTATTGTTTGCAATCACCTTGTTGTTGTTCTCATAGTGAATGTAACTGATGTTTTATATTGTGTTGACTGTTTTAGTGGTAATTGGAATAATGAGAAACCATATGAAGTGAAATCACGTGGATTGTGCCCGAAAATGCAGAATATTCCTAAAGATAGTTTTCAAAAGGCGCGTGATGATACACTGCGTGCACCATTATCAATAGTGAATGTCAACCACAAGTTGTCATCGATCGGTTCAAGTGAAGGTTTAGTTAACGATCAACCCTCCACAGGTTCGCAAAGAACGTTGGATGAGAAAAGCCTTGAAATACTCGAACTGCATAGGAAATACAGACAGGATTTAGTTGATTGTAAAGTTGATGGACAACCTCCAGCTAAATATATGTCACCATTGGTAAATCACTCACTATTCAATAATTTCTTCAAATAATATACGTAACGCTTATTTGTAGAAATGGAATTACAATCTGGCTGCACAAGCACAAAAATTGGCGAACAAATGCATCTTGCAACACGACAAACGTCATTCGGATGAATTCTCTTGGGTTGGACAAAATATTGCTCTCCATCCAACCATTAAGTCGTAAGCTCATTTCTATTCAATTCACTGTTTTCTGATTCAGAGGAGTAGATGCTTGGTTCAATGAGCACAAACTATACGACTACAAAGAAAACAAGTGTATGGCATGTTTGCATTACACACAAGTAAGTCCATTCTCATCCACTTCAACATAGTTCAATATACCCACAGTCATTTGTCACTCACCATTCACACCTATTATAATGCACCACGAATGTGTGATAACAATCAAGTGGTTTCACTTTTCTACAGAAGTGACTGAAAAACACATGTAAATACACGTAATCCGATCATTGCAGTTATGCACACAGGTATCCACAACACTTGATCATATTTGAGTATGTGTGTTTTGTTGAGAGTTGAGGTGATTCGGTGGAAAACAACAGATAGGAAATTTGTCTCTGACCAGCATGTACTAAGACTGACGAGTGCATTCAAATCCTAATCAATGTGTCAACACTAGTGTCAACACTAGTGTGAACACACAAACACAATATTACAATCTACTCAACAGAAATTCATTGTTTATAGATGGTAGATGACGATGTTGTGTTGGGTGAAATGATTTCGACTGTTGGTTGACATGAGACAGAATGAGTGGTAGAGTGAGAGAGAGAGTGTGACTGATTGATTGAATGATTGATTGATTGAGTGAGTGAGTGATTGGTTGGGTGAGTGAGTGAATGAGTGTTCTGTAGAATTCAACTAGTTATCATAACTGCACCAAGTGTAAACATACTCATTCAACACATACTGGAATTTCCACGTGTATCTCCTTCAGTTGACAACATTATCTCTATCGTCTACATGTAATGTATTTACACACAGGTCATGTTGAAACATTGTGGAAATGCCTTGCAATTGGCCTACCGAACGATCACATTATTTCCTTGTTCACATTCCGTTTCAGATGGCTTGGGCCAAGACCACAGACATTGGATGTGGAGTTGCGAGTTGTCCAAGATACGGTCTATCAATCGTGTGTAATTATGGTCCAGGGTAAGTGATTGCTCTTGATCATGTGTGAAGAGATGGTATTGTTTGCAATCACCTTGTTGTTGTTCTCATAGTGAATGTAACTGATGTTTTATATTGTGTTGACTGTTTTAGTGGTAATTGGAATAATGAGAAACCATATGAAGTGAAATCACGTGGATTGTGCCCGAAAATGCAGAATATTCCTAAAGATAGTTTTCAAAAGGCGCGTGATAATACACAGCGTGCACCATTATCAATAGTGAATGTCAACCACAAGTTGTCAACGACCGGTTCAAGTGGAAGTAGTGTTCACGACCAACGCATACAAGGTCAACCTACTTCTATAAATAGTTTTGAATATCGTCATCGTAATACACAGCGTAAATGGATATCTGGAATGAAAGGTCTACACACGTTTTCAAAGGACGTTCTTGGTGGAGGTGGTCTTGCCTATGCACAAGGACAACATAATTATAGAATAGTACGATACTGAAAATGATTGAATTTATTCGGCAAATATAATTGGTGCCTCCATATCTATTACACATATCTGTTTTCAACTGTGTTTTCACTTCTGTAACCCAAAACCTTCTCTCAATATATACTCATTACTTACTTCCATTGATATGCAGGACTATTTTGTGTTGATATTACTCAACTATCTGTATGTGTGTAGCAATTAGTCATAACTTATAACTTACAATTGAATATATTTCATTCAAATCATATTGTTTTGTGTTCTGTAATTCATGTGGTGAGTGAGAAACGATGTTGGCAAGTGTCATTGGAATGATACATTTAATGAATACGTTCATTATGTGTTGATTATTTCATCTTTGTATGTGTATTGTGTATTGTGTGTTGACTGGAATTCACGTTTATTCAGCTCATCAATGTAACTTGTCACAATACTCACTTCATTCAATATTAAACATGTAATTCAACAGTAAATCCTTAGCATACAATATATTTTAACTAAATTCTCCTACTGTCTATGTCAAATTTAATGACATTTTTGTTTGTGAGATTATGGATTTTCGGTTATGACTGGCCATGCGTCCGAATCCCGGTAGGTGGGGTCGTGTATATGTGCTGCTATGGAGTTCCACAATGGGATAAAGTGGCACTCCAGGGCTTACAATTTTTTCATATAGGTCTAGCTTCAATTGACTCATGATCTCAGCTACTGAAAAATTTGATATGAACAAATGATCAGCGGCGGGAAAGTGGTCAAATGCAGACTACACCAGGATAGATGTTATTTGATTTAGTTTTCAATACAGAATATCGGAAATTACGAAGACGTGTCATTGCAGTACTGTGTTAATGTGATTTTCATAGAATCAGTTAGATTGAACAGCTTCACATGTAGAATGATGTATTGTAACACTACTGAACATAGACAATCGTTATGTGTGTACTAAGAATTCATTCATTTCAGATCAATGAGGAGAGAAAGAATCAGGTTCCAATACAGTTATTTATTTCATTTACTTAACTAAACTGTATTTGTTGATGGAAGATTGAGCAAGCAATCAGTAAATTTAAAAGTAAACAACATCTCCATTAAAATCATCCACCTAGAACTGAATTCAAAACACATTACAGTGTCAACAATATGCATCGTAGACAAATATTGTGACATTCTACATAGATAAAAATAATGTAGAAGATGCAAAGGATGAACGATAAGGTAAATGTATCAATGTGTCATGCACTTGTCCATATTATTTGTGTTAAAAACAATGAGACTGTGGATACATAGGATATTTAGCTATGCTGTAACTATAATAAATGACTGATACTTTGAATAAATTACCCATGTGGAAATAATTTCGAATTATCTTAGAGATTTACTGACAAAATATATTTGAGACTGGATGAATACAAAATCTCAAATCAACGGAAGTCAAATATGTGAATAGTTGGTACACAGCACATTTATCTAAAGGTTAAATGCCCAGTGCACTATCTTAACGTCCTAGATTCCATTCCAAATGAAATCATGACCATTAAGGTACCCATAGTGAAACGAAAATGGTAAGTAGTACATGCTGGGTTCCACTGGTTTTGTAAATAAAATCAGTCTATGAGGTGAACATAAACAAATAAAACTAATATGGATAGAGTATCATTGATTCTTACATTGCCTTAAGTCTTCATCCATATGGAGCTGAAAACTAGTCTGATCTTCTTTCAGTGATAATATTTGTAGAGGCTATGATAATGTTATTGACTAGGTTAAAGAAACGGAAAAAAACAAATATCCAATTGGAGGTAACTATTTTTTAAAAGATGAGATCTGAACTTTTAAAAATACCAAGTGGCAGCTGAAAAGGAAATTAGGAAAATACGTCGTAAATTGAGGAAATCCTTTAGCTGCTTCAAGAGTCAAGCGATAACTTGGAATCCTGAAGGGAAACAAATAAGAGGACGATGAAATAGCAGACTATGCCGAGTTAAGTTAATAATTATTTGTAAGGAATGGTGAAATGTATATTTCGATAACTTGATAACAAGCAGCAAATGATCTACTTAGAGTGAAATTTTGGGCCACCACCACAATTGATTGATCACTGAGTGGTGATCAATGTCATGTGTGTCAAGTCCTTTTCAGTGCAGATCGAAAGCCTTTGATCAAGCTGCAATGTGGCCAATAGTCTAGGTGACTCGAGACTACGTGTACTATGTTGGTATAAGATGGTGGTTGAAGGTAGTCAACAGCAAAACCCCGAACCAAGGACTTGACACACATGACATTGATCACCACCCAGTGATCACCTAATTGTGATTACATCTCAGTCCTACAGGAAGTCGGTCACTGCCCGAATAGCTCAGTGGTAAGGTCTCTGACTGTGAAGCTGGGTAACACGGGATCGAACCAGTTCCTTCAAGATTACAAGTAGCACGAGACCTGGGTCCAGGGTTTCTTGTCGACTACCTCCAACCAACATCTTATCTCTCTAGGCCACCATAGCAGACTGATGGTTGGCTGCCCATGCTCTTTGACGAGGAGTAACAAGTGTAAATAAATAAATGTTATACAATTATATGAATAAACTAAATAATCCAATGGAAACGATAAAAACTTTAAATTGAAAGAACCACATGTTTGATTTCAACTTGGATTGCACAAAAAAACCACAACCTAAAACGCTACATAAATTATTCTACTTATAGTGAACAAACAATCATTTTAATAGAAAGAGAACTGTCATTTCATATACATAGGCTGAAATGAAAATGCATAATGTGCCAAATCACATCATAACAGTACGGTTGTTGTGGTGTTTTTGGTTGTTTTTTTTGTTTTTTATCTCTAAAAGATTCTATAAATTGTCTGTTATCCATACTTCTCAGAGATAAAATGAATATCTTATTATTATTATTATTATTATTATTAATTTATATAAAAGTAAACATTGTCTTCTCACAACCAAATGATCCACAACTTCGAAAACTTCTACAATATCATAATGATCTTAGACGTAATTTAACAGAATGTAAATTTGAAGGACAACCTCCAGCGAAATATCTGCCAGATCTTGTAAGTTTATATTACATTATCTATTATATGTTACATGTAAAATAGAAATGGGATAATGAACTAGCTTCAAAAGCTAAAGATTTAGCAAATGAATGTTATTTTCATCATAATGATGTCAATTTACCACATAAATGGGAATATGTTGGTCAAAATATAGCAGGATATCAAACAATTGAACAGTAACTAACATTATTATTATTACTATTCTTTTCTTAATTCCTCTTAATCTTATTTTAGAGCATTCGATGCATGGAAAGATGAATATAAACAGTATAGTTATTATTCAATGAGTTGTTATGGTGTTTGTGGACATTATACTCAAGTAAATTATTACAAATAAATTAGAATTCATAATGACGTAATACATTTTACTTGGTATTTTTATTATGAAATAACTTTATATTTACTTTAGTAAAGTGCTAATGAGATTGCTGTAATGTTAATTAACCACTATACTATACTATGCTATGTTCAATGTTATAGGGATAGGTTGGAAGAAAGCTAAGGGCAGTCAGACCAAAACATGGCACAAATCCATGAAGTCACTGACAAGTAGACTGAGCCATGTTGGTAGGTGTAGACTACCTGGTTGGGGACCAAGAGATGATAGAAACCGATGGTTAGAGACCCTGGATGACATGGCTCAAAATCGTTTACAATGGCGCAGGTGCATACACTCTTTGGGTCCTCCCAAATTTTAATCTACTGATTCCTCCTTGTCTCTTTTTTCTCTCCCCAAATTTATTTCACTGGATTATACTCTTTGAATAACATCTCCAAACCGTAATCTTCTCGATTACTGCTTATACTCTTACTACCTCTACCACTATGGAATTTGAGTCGACAACTGCATCTCTGTGCTAATGTGATATAGCAACTCGAACTGATGTACTTACGTACGAAGTTCTATGTTGTTACTGACTGACTGACTGATACCATACTATATATAGAGTTATTACTTGTAAAACACTTGAGTCTTACTACACTTAAAATCTATTTCATTTATTCATCGAAATTAATGAAGTAAATGATTAGTATTATAGTGATCATGATAATGACATTGTCTCAGTTCTAGTTAGATCTTGAATAGATACAGCTGAAGTTTACCTTATTCTTCTTATTCTTCTTCTTCTTATTATTATTATTATTAAAGACAGATTTTTAATGTTACATCTATCCATATATTTAATTTTTTATCGAAAGTTACATTAACACGAGTTGGGACATCGTCAATGATAAATATAGTTGTTGTCAATATCAAATTTTATTTTCTCACTGGCTATTCTTTACTTAAGATTTCAAATAAGTTATGTGTAATTTCAATAGCTGAGATCATGAGTCAATTGAATCTAGAACAGCATGTAAAAACCTGGAAACACTGGACGGTCGTTTCGTCCTATTGTGGGACTCCTCCTTGGCAGTCTGCATCCACGATCCCGTCTCACGACATTCCAACTCAGGACCTATCAGTCTCATGTGCAAGTGCTTAACCTCCAGACCACTGGGTCGACATCTATTGGTGTTAATGTCTAACTTCAACTAATCCACAAAAATGAGTGACAAATCCATCATTGTCATCAGTGAGTTACTATCTCACAACTGACCCGGATGAACTCCACCCCGCGAGGTGGAGTCGTGGATACGCACTGATGAGAAGTCCTCCAATAGAACGAAACCACCGTCCAGTGCTTTCAAATTTTTCATAGTGCTCCAGCATCGATTGATTCATGATCTTAACTAATGGAATTACTACAATCTCTACAAAACCTCTTCTGATACTTATATATAATTGTCTATATAAACAACTTGTCTTTAAATTATCAGTTCAAGATTTTTAAAATTTATTTTAGTTAGTATGGCAAAATACTACTCATGTTGGTTGTGGTATTACAAATTGTACCGGGAATTATGGATTTCCATATGGATTATCAGTTGTCTGTAATTATGGCCCAGGGTAAATAAACATGAATAATTAATATTAATTATTGTACTATAATTTTATTCTACTAAGTATTATAATAGTAATATAAAGATGTTTCTATTCATTAAGTTTCAAAGAAAAATTCAATTGATACATTCCATTGTATATTATTTTGTATTTTAGAGGAAACTATGAAGGTCGTTATCCTTACGAAGCAAAATCACAAGATGAATGTTATGCTGTAACTA